CAGTGTTTCAGTAGTCAAATAATTTTCGTATGTACATCTACGCGAAGCACGAGCTTATCCACCTTGTGTTTTATTCTGAAAGGTATATATATATATATATTTGAATAATAATAATTATTTATTTATTGCTTTTCTAGTGTCGTCTGCTGACAACTGTCAAATAAACGTTAGGTGACGGCTTGAACTGAGGATGACATAATGTTGTCGAAACGTCGTACATTTATAATAATGGTTTCTTCATTACCCAGTCAAGCCGTCTCCGACGTTTAGAAACTTCATAATTACAAATATTACTTCATTTTTTTACACTGAACGAAGCGTAATCTACCGAAAGTTCCATTAACTCGAACACTTACTTTCACACAACAGACAACCACATTTTCTACCCCTTATAATAAAGTCAGATAAGTCACAGATAATTAGCGAATAGTAATTAACGGTCAAAACGTTTCTATACTCAAGTGTTGTGCTTGAGAGACAAATTTTTATTTCCATTATTTTCCTGCCAAAATATATGTTTATTACACTTAACGTGATATTTATAAAATACAACTGCAAATGATGACAGTAATACGAATGAAAACTGTTTGTTACAAAATCCCCCCCTCCCCACATAGGCGTCCGCAGAAATTTTTACAGGGAGGGGCAAAGTACTGTGAAATTGTGAATTGAATAAAAAATGCATATACATATGCTGAATGATAAAGAAAGACTCGTGTTTTTAATTTTCCATGGGGGAAGCGCCCCCTTGCGGACCGCCCCCCCCCACACTACAAGTACTACGTGTGTTTCCCGTTCTTACAACATAGTTCCTCTAAGCTAACAGACACTTTATCTGGATGATGTTGGGCACTCGGGGTGGTTCTCTCGTAAACTCACCTCGGAAAGTTTCCTGGTTTCGAATTCTTGTAATTGTTTCTGGAAGCCAAAGTTAGGGTTAGCCACATTCCTGGCTCCTCGCACAACCTTCAGAGCAGTCTTGTGATCCAGTGACGTCACAGACATGATGTACGCTACGGCCACTGTTACGCTTCTGGACATGCCTGCTAAACTTGGAAGATAATTTGATACATTGTACGAACACATGGACACTAAAGACTGCATGGAAAATTCCTTAACTACTACACTACTAAATTTACTTTGTTATTACACTGTGGGGTAAAAAAAGAAAAGAGACTGAAAAGTAACTATGAGCTAGGCTACTATGGATGCATGAAAAAACCTTCAGAAAATCACATTTCTTAGTTGTAACAACGCAGACAAAACATTCAATATTCTCAACTGTAATAACTAAATGTAAAAAACTCGAACTCGTCAGCTGTAAAAACTAATGACAAAACATTCACGCTACTTAGATGTAACAATACAGACATAGTGGGGCGGATCTAGTTATTTGAGTCTGGGAGAGTAATTTATATGTTCCTAGTGGGGCGGCTCGAGTTATTTGAGTCGGGTAGACTAGTCTGGGAGAGTAATTTATGTGTTTCTAGTTGGGCGGATCTAGTTATTTGAGTCGGGTAGACTAGTCTGGGAGAGTAATTTATGTGTTTCTAGTTGGGCGGATCTAGTTATTTGAGTCGGGTAGACTAGTCTGGGAGAGTAATTTATGTGTTTCTTGTGGGGCGGATCCAGTTATTTGAGTCGGGTAGACTAGTCTGGCAGAGTAATTTATGTGTTCCTAGTGGGGCGGATCCAGTTATTTGAGTCGGGTAGACTAGTCTGGCAGAGTAATTTATGTGTTCCTAGTGGGGCGGATCCAGTTATTTGAGTCGGGTAGAGTAATTTATGTGTTCGTAGTAGGGCGGATCCAGTTATTTGAGTCGGGTAGGCTAATCTATGTATTTGTGACTAACACAGTTTTTGTGGTAACTTCATCAATGAATGAATTTCCGTTCAACGTTTGAGAAATGCAGAAACAATGTGTAACAGTCAGTAGCAGACTTGCTCGAAAAGACCCGGGGGTCAGAAGTGGACAGCCAGGAGCCTGATATCGATTGAGAGTAGGGAGACTGTAAAAAACACAAGAGTTCAAACTGAAGTTAAAATACATTTTTCCTTTTTCACATGCTACCGACACCTGGTGGCACAAATGTAAGTCTGCAGAGATATAATGCCAAAACTGGGATTCGATATCCGTGGTGGGCACAGCACAGATAGTCCAATGTGTGTGGCTTTGTGCTTAACTACAAACCAACAAATACACGTTAACAGAACGCTGCACAAGGATTTCGCAAATCAAAATTATTCTGTTATAATATAAATTATTACAATAACAACTAGAGAGCACTCAGTAGAGCCCATACCTCCGCCACGCAGCGTTAATCATATTCGGTCTTCAAAAAGTACGAAGATGAGTCCTTATGTCAATCGTTATCAACGGACATGGACCAATTTTGACAGGACAATGGGGAATAATTTTCTACACATGTCCACCAAGTTTCGTCAAAATCCGATCATTTTTGACTGAGCTATAGAGCAAAAATAGTGTGAAAAATCGGCCTCCATGTTAACTGATAGGGATTTATTGGATGTTCGTGACTTCGACCTCCAAGAACTAATCACTTCTAAGTAGGGTCATAGTCCAAATGTATACAAACTTTCGCCAAATTCCACTCAACTGTTTTTGAGAAATCTTGCTGACACACACACAGACAGGGGTGAAAATATAACCTCCGTCACGTAGTAATAGCTAAAAAAATATACAAGCAATTTGATGAAAGCTAAGAAAAACTTTTCTCCAGTTTTAGAGATTTCATGGCTGTCTATAGAAAATTTTCTAACTCTGACAGCGTGAGGAGAGGTCCGCGAGATTTATGGTCTGTGGAGGGGGGCGAGTGCCCCTTAGAATCTCTTGCCAGTTTCGAATAATGTAAATATTTCGAGAAATATGCTACAGAAATGTTCTTTCAAAAGGTTAAGGTTCGTTTTGGGGCGTAGTAAGGTTGATAATGGAAACAGCATTGCTGTTCTGCTATCATCTTTCCCGTGGTCCTTCTCACACACATACAGCGTTTATTATATTATTGGGGTGCCTTCGGACAAAAATCCATAATAATAAACATTGTGTCAAGAAAGATATGTCAACGAACCCTGTACGGTAGATAGATGGAAGAGAGAACCAATATGATACTTAGTAAGACTTGATTTGTTTGTTTGTTTTGAACTTCGCGCAAAGCTACACGAGGACTATCTGCGCTAGCCGTCCCTAATTTAGCAGTGCAAGACAAGAGGGAATGCAGCTAGTCATCACCTCCCACCGCCAACTCTTGGGCTACTCTTTTACCAACGAATAGTGGGATTGATCGTCACATTATAACGCCTCCGCGGCTGAAAGGGCGAGCATGTTTGGTGGACGTGGATTCGAACCCTCGATCCTCAGATTGCGAGTCAAGCGCTCGAACCACCTGGCCATGTTGTAAGACTTGAACCTCCTATATTCTGAGAAGTAGCTAGCATGTATATTTATGTCTCAAACATAAAATACCAAAAACATTTAGATATCTAGCACATTAGAGCAAACAAACAATTTAAACATTATATTTTGCGTCACATTTTATGAATTAATAATGAATTTATCGTAGCTTGAAAATACTTGGGATTTTACAAAGCCAGAAAAAACTCGAAAACAGACAGTTAGAACCAAGAAGAACTATTATGGCATCGTTTTTGAACAGAGTCCAATCTAATTATAGCTCCGAACCGGTATTTTCCATCATTATATTGCGTCCTTATCTTCCTCTCTCTGCCCTAATTTATCAAATCCATGTATAAACGTGATATAAAAAAACAAAGATTTTGAGAATAACTGAGACGTTTCTTAAACACATGGCGTTATAATGAGGGTGAAATAGTTTTAGTAGACTTTTACTCACAGTCATCTCATTAGTCGCACAAAACTAATTTAAGAAACAAACTAATTAAAAACATTAAATACAGATAAACATTAACACGCTGTTACCGGTAATTTTATGTTTCTTATTCACCAAGTATATGTCTCAAAATATGTTTTATGTAAGAGCCTTTCATTTGCTGTGTTCACTTCTCACCTGGTCTAAATCAGGTATTGTAACCCTTCTGAGGGACACATTTAATAACATCTAATTTTTTGTCACTAAAACGTAATACTCCTCTTAAACTTGTATTAGACCGTTTTAATTATATTCAAAATTTGTCGGTGAAACGAAATAAGATCCGTAAAAGCTTGTGTAAGCCCGTTTTTGAGTATATTCATGCTATTTCAAAAACTAGTTGCTGTGACAACGAATCCCCACCCCGAAAAAAAACACACAACTCAAATAGTTTAAATTCCAACAGTACATCATTGCAACTTGAAATCGTCGTTAAACTGGCAAAAAGGTTTGATGATTTAAAAACATTCCATTAACGGATTCCTTCTAACTTCTGCATAAACGAGGTTATTATAAATTATTAAAATATCATACAGAATACGCCCTCTTCTGGGCGTTTCTAAAACGGAAGAAGAAAAAAAAAAGCTAGGCTGTGGAAATTCGTGCAATGCCTGCGTAGATGATGGAATGTACAGAAACTCTAACTACGTATCTCAAGGTACCAATATAGCTATTTAAATGAACCCGTCGAGTGTTTAAAATAAAATGAAACAATAACAGAGAATGAACGAGAGACAGCAAAATTATATTTATAAGATGCAGCAAGCTGAATAAACAGTTTCTAAAACGAAGAGAAATGTAAAACAGGATTAATTAAAAACAAGGACAATAAGATAGATTACACACCCCGCCGCTTCGATTGCATGCGTTTGTATTGGATAACATCAAATTTCACCTTCCAAAACTCAGAAAATCCTTTTCAGATCCAGAATGATCAACGATCCGGATCATTTTTTGTAGTGTGATGAAGAGTCTTAACCTTAGTGTGTCCATGAAATTTGGTACAAATTCGATCACACCTTACAGAGTTATTGACCCAAAACCTGAAAAATGCCCTATTTCCCCATTATAAAAAATGCTTCAAAAGTGATCCGGATCCGGACCAAATTTGGAGAGAACTGTTCCATACTGACTTCCCATCTTGTGTAAAAGTTTCGTGTACTTTCGTGTACATCGGTCGATTAGTTTTCGATATACGACCCGATTGTAGGTACATTAAATGTTGCAGGCAAGAAAAAAAAACGTTTAGCAGTCTTTGAAATTCCACATGACACGAGTTTCAATTTACCACGTGTCGCAGATATCCCCCTGTGTAGCGTTGTGCTCAATAGATTAATTACGTTACTAGGCCTAAAATTTGTGATAAAAATCACGTAAACTGCAGATGGGTTTTCCCACATTACTTTTAATTTGTCCATTTCGTATTGAAAATCAGAAGCGTGTAAAAATAGTATTTCAAATCTATCTCTTGTCTCCCACAAGTCGCTACCCAAGAGGCCTTTCGTTAATATGTCATAACTACTCAGTTGGGCTGGATGATGAGTGACAAAAAATTATCTGAAACGCTATTTACCTATATATGCAGCATTATACCGTGGTACTATATGGCGGAAAGTTAGGCCTACTTAACTAGAGGTTCGCAGAATATCACGCCACAAAGTATGTGGTCGTATTTCTTTCCGAACTCTAACTGAGTTCGTTGTGAAAAAGAAAAAAAAGGAGTCTAAAAGAAGAGAATAAAATAAAGAAAAGAAATCTTTGTTAACAAACAAGAGTTACAAAAATATATATAACAAGGGCAAGTGTATATATTGGGTGTGATGGCCTGGTAAGAAAGTTGTTGAGATACTTTTAATGGCTTTTTCTTGCCTGTATTACGTCTCCGTTCGTTAGTTAATTTTCCGTAAATTCGTTCCGACGAAACTTTAGCGACACAAGTCCTTTCTTAAGCTCACCGTAAACAGGTGTTGCGTCAGCGAGGTCACGTGACTAGTATCACGCCACCTGTTTCTAGAAATATCCTGTTCCTTCAAGAATGCCCTAGCATTTACTAGATATGTGTTAGTCTTGTATATATAAGACGTTCACAATGTGACGGAACAACAGAGGTAATGAGTAATTGAACTGCAGTCAGAGAGAATATTGTTAAGCACGTGAGAAGTTCGTTGAGAATTATAGCGTTTGTTACAGAGCGACTGTTGAAATTAAATGTATCGTAAAGTTGTATTCGGAAAGAATAAACCAGTTTTATTTAGGTCATGTGTACAAGTTGTGGTCATGAGCAAACCTGGTTTTATTAATATTATCGTGTTCAATATTTAGAGTCAGGTTACTTTCTGTTAGGCAGATTTGTCAGTGATTTTTGATTTTATTCAAATTTTAGTCTTGAGTATGACTTTATTCATAAAATTTAAACTTATCATTCTTTTTTATTGTTTCATTTTAACATTGGGGTAATTTTACTTTATGTTTAAACTTCTTTTTAGTGTAGTTAACAGGGTAGTCAACTGTGATTCAAATATTAAACACGATAACATTAATAAAACCAGGTTTGCTCATGACAACAACTTGTACACACGACCTTACGGATATGGCAGCCCTGTCCATTATCCAATTTGTCGACAGAAATACAGCTGTCTCTCTCAAAATGTCACAAGTTATCTTTTCTGTACGATATATAGCTAATTGTCATTTAGTGATTCACATCTCACGTGCACCAGAGAAAGAAAAGTTGAATTGTTTACTCGAGTGACTCGACTCTCAGCATCCAAAGTAAGCTAAAATAAAGTACAGTTATTTTGTAAAAAATTACATATTAATTAAAGGGAAGCTAACACATGGTGTAATCTTGTACCAGAATACTTTAAAAGTTATGTTTTAAATGCCTAAAATTGATGAAGCATTAGAAACCAACAGGTCTGAAACATGTAATAAAAATCGTGTAAACTGCAAATATTTTTTCCAGTATTCCTTTTAATTTGTCCATTTTGGATTCAAAATCAGAGGTTTGTAAAAACAGCATTTCAGATCCATCTTTGTTCAAAAAGAAGGTTTAAGATTTTCAACCTGCTTCATATTTAGAGAAAATACGTTTTCAATTCAATTGTCGTCGTGTATAGTTGTTTTATTCTAAAAATAAGGTTGAATATATTATCGGTGTACTCAGAGCTGTTGTTGATGGAACTGGTATACTTGCATTTTTCTCAGTTTAGTTTGGAAGTGTAAAGTCATGCAAGTGAATACATCTAAACTTTGCTTCTTTCTAGCTCTGGCCCCCCAGTAGCACAGCGGTATGTCCGCGGACTTACAACGCTAGAATCTGGGTTTCGATACCCGTGGTGGGCAGAGCACAAATAGCCCATTGTGTAGCTTTGTGCTTAATTACAAAAAAAATTCTAGCTCTGCCTGGGACCTCTTTGCTAATTGCCAATTAACCGAGTTTATTGCAGGGACGAAAGCACGTAATGTACTGGAATAGAGAGCTGCTTTTCTACCAGTAAATCAGATAATGGCCTGTAATTTCCTCCGCCTCAGCACTTGAACATGAATGGATGGAGGTCATTTGCAGAATAGCGTTTTCTGTGCAAACTTGATTTTAAGTTATATATTTTCTTCTTTTAAAACTCGGGTTATCCTTTGTTTATCCCGTTTTGGTAAGATATTTTACTTAACTTTTCATTTCCATTTTTTGTAAGATTTAACATTCGTTTA